TTGACATGATCTTCATCGCTCTGGACCGCTACATAGCCATTTGCCATCCCTTACACTATTCTTCCATTTCCCTTCGATCTTACAGCATCACTTTGGTTTGCTGTTGGCTCGTTTCGGCTTTTTACGGTATTGGTTTTCTGCATAACGAAGTCGTGAATCCCGAGGAACAGAGTCCATGTGAAGGCAAATGCCTTACGGTAGTCACATTAATCGCAATCTACGTAGACATGGGTTTGAATTATGCCGGGCCCTTTCTGCTCATTGCGATCTTATATTTGCGAGTGTTCATTGTGGCGGTGGTTCAGGCTCGGGCGATGCGTTCTCACGTCGCAGCCAAGGCTCACCAGCAGGGGGCGAGCTCAAAGAAATCGGAGCTCAAAGCAGCGAAGAATCTGGGTTTTGTTCTGTTCGTGTTTTTATTGTGCTACACGGCGTACTACGTAATCAACCCCACGGAAGATATGAATCCCTATTTAAGGTTTACCCTGCTTTATCTCTTATATTTTAACTCATGTTTCAACCCTTTACTCTACGCGGTCATGTACCCCTGGTTTAGGAAAGCAATGAAAATAATTTTTACCTTAAACATTTTCAAAAGTGGATCGAGTGATGCAAGTTTACTGTGAGAACTCCAGTGTTATATTTAATATTTCATAAAAGTGCATTGTGACACACTGATTTAGAACACACAGAAAAAACAATATCTAGGTAATAGTCCAATGAGGTTCATTTGGTCTTCTGATATTTTATGTTATTTGGTTCTTTTTACAGACCAAGAGTTTGTTTTTTCATACCTGATCGTACAGAAAACTCAGACAATTACTCGTCCACCTGAAAGACAAAAAAAGAACCGGAGCATAAATGTAATGTCATATACGAAATACCATGCATGTCCCGTAATAAAACATACATCGGGGAAACAGAGAGGGCGTTCAGTACACGAAAAAGGAACATAGAACAGAATGTGAGAAGGAAACAGCAAAGACGTGCACACGAGTAATAAAACACAAAGCAGAACAGGAACAACTCAAGTCAGCCATCTCTGATCACTGTAAAAGAAAGAAGCACATTATGGACTGGGACGGAGCAAATATCACTGGGACAGAGGAAAACAAACACTGTCGCTGGACTAAAGAGGCAATCGAAATACGGAAACCTGCCCATGGGATGATAAACTGGGAGGGGGGCCTAAGGAAGTGGGACTGCAGATGGCGCTGTCATCCTGCCTCCACCGGTAGAAAGACAGCACCAAACCTGTTTAAATCAACTGAGCGACACGACACAACATCACAAGGCTCTGGGAAAGAGCGCTAGTGAGCAGTCAAAACTGTCAGGTATGAAAACAAACTCTCGGTCTGAAAAAAGAACCTAATAACATAAAAAAGACCAAATGAACCTGATTGGACAACATAGTGCACTTTTAATAAAGAGTATGTGTATTAAATATAGTGTATATGAACGGAACTGTACATGCAGAACGTGTAGTTGTACAAATATAGTGTAGTAAAACATGTAGTCCAGTTTTGCCGTGAAGGTAATGCTAACAACAATTAGCATGCCAACCATGAACTTCCTCAAGATCAAACAATGAAATGCTTTATAATTAGATGCAGACAGCTACTTGTACAATATATCTGTACTGGGGTAAAATAATAATAATAATACTTGGCAAAATGGGTATGGAGCCTTTGATATGACAAAACAGAAAATGTGTTAATCATATACTGTATATTATTATCCTGCTCTGGGTGTAGTTTGGATATTTGCAAAAATATATGTCCAATGACTGATAATATTAGCTTGAACATGGTAAAAGAAAAATAAATGCTGTATTCTGAATCTGATGGTTAGTTTGGCACAGTAGCTGCGTTCTCTGTTGGTCCAATAGGCAAACCTTTGGGTGTTCCCTGCTCATGTACGAGTCCAAGACCGAACACAGTATTACACCTTTATATTGTTTCCAAATATGTTTATTATGTTGTATATAAAATAAAACATTTTATAACAATGAAGAGATTGCTAAAATCTCTTTGAGTAAATAGATGTGTTACTAGTAAAGCTGAATCTTGTGTTTGATCAGTGTCCATTACGATGCAACATTGGTTGTTTTTGAAAAAAATAAAATGCAGTGGAAAAAAACAATATCTAGGTAAGTTAAAATTACTTAAATTAACATTTTATTTTATTTGAGTAGATTTAACTTGACAAGTGCAATGATTTACCAATGGAAGTGTGTTTTTCTTAATTCAAGCAATGTTCGATTTTGTTTCTTATTTTGAGTGCAAAAAGTTGTTGTTTTTCTTTTTTTTAAGTGTAGCAAGATGTATTTTTATATTTTAAGTACAAAAAGTCTGATTTCACTGGTAGATAATTTTACTTGTGAAGTGAAATTTATTCAAATCATGATAAAACTTTCTTAATTCAAGTCATCATTTTGTTTTTTGCAGTGTTTTCTTAATAATTTTTTGGCCTTTTTACACATTAAATTGAAACAAACACAATCAGGGACAGCAACCTGGTCCTCCATGAGCCGTCGGTGGTTCAGTTCATCACCACAGAAGCAGTTTATGAGGAGCCCAGCCCATATTACATGATCGTTATATCCACAATGCAATGTGTGTGTCTGTACAGGCCCATGAACATTTGTGTGATATTGGTCACACATGAGAATGTCTGTGTTTACTAGTGTGTAATGAAAATATCATTTTTCATGTGTTCCGTGTGTGCGACTGTAGATCAGTGTGTTGTGTATCAGCAGAAAAACAAGAAATGGAAATTATTTTTGTTCTAATTAGAATTTTAATGGCTACACTGAAAGAAAAAGGAACTGTTATAATTAGTGATCATCTGGAAAACTATGAATATTTGACCATACAAATGCATCGAATTATGAATACCGTATTTTCCGGGCTCTTAAGCCTCTAACCGTATCAAAAAACGACTGCACACCCCGCAATCCAGAGCGCCCCATACACGAATCCACTCGGGTGTCCCAGCATGACTTCAGTAAACTACAAAGCCGCACCACCCGCAGAACACGCACACACACACACCGACGAGGAACGGAACGGAGGAATGAACCGAAAAAGCGAGTGCAATGTGCCGCTTCTAGACACGACTGAACAACTGAGTCACTGCGAACACGCCGACAATCCGTTGGTCCCAGACAGCACCCTCCCTACACGCCACAACTGAACAAAGCCCAGAGTCACCGTGAACGTGACAAACAAAGTCCCACTGACCCATCCTGCTGGTTGGTTTCATTTAAAGTCCGGTGCATTTTATTTGTGAAAAAAGTTCAAAAATAGACCATTTAATGACAGTGCGTCTTATAATCCAGAGTGCCTAATAGCCCAGAAAATACGGTAGATAATGATTTTTCTGAGATTTTGAGACCACTCCTGTTGCTCGAGTTCAATCCTTGTGAGATTTATGACCAAAAACGCCTATTTCACCTTGGTTATCTTGACCAGTTTCAATCTGTAACATCCAGTGTGCCCCGGTTATGTGTGTGCCAACTTGTGTGATGATTGGGTGAATATTTTAGCCCGCAGATGGTTAAGAAATTGCCTATCCTTTGTAATGACGTGACCTTTCAATTGACCCGTGTGACCTCGGATCATCACCAAACTTTTTTTTTTTGCAGCATCGGGCACAGGGGCTTGACCCATGTACCAAATTTGGTGACAGTCGGTCCATAAATGGCAGGGTGGACAGACACACAGGGTGAATACAAAACCTGGTCAAACCTTCGGGGACCAGATAAAAACTCCAGAAACAGGACAGAAGCAGCCAATGATGTTCATTATGTCTTCTTATATACTTTAACTTCTTAGGTTCTTTTTAAAGACAATGCAGTAAAGTGTATTTACCTTGTTGACATGTTTCGGCTGCTAGCTGCAAGCCATCTTCAGAACTGTCACCGGTGTTGGTGGTGACGTGTCGTTTATCAGCTGTTGTTACTTCCTGTAGGCGTGGTCAGACCTGATGGACCTGGCAGGTCGCTCAGACTGACCACGCCTCCCGTCGCCCGGTGTCTCTGGAGGAGGGTGTCCCAGGTGTGTGAAAGGAGGAACGCAGAACAGGAAAACCTAAAATCCGCCATATCAGACACTGTAAAAGGAACAACCACATTATGGATTGGGACGGGGCTCGGATCATTGGATCGGAAAACAACAAGTTCAAACGCTGGATCAAGGAGGACATTGAAATCAGGAAACGAGGCACGGACAGCATTAACCGTGATGACGGAGCGTTCCTCCTTTCACACACCTGGGACACCCTCCTCCAGAGACACCGGGCGACGGGAGGCGTGGTCAGTCTGAGCGACCTGCCAGGTCCATCAGGTCTGACCACGCCTACAGGAAGTAACAACAGCTGATAAACGACACGTCACCACCAACACCGGTGACAGTTCTGAAGATGGCTTGCAGCTAGCAGCCGAAACATGTCAACAAGGTAAATACACTTTACTGCATTGTCTTTAAAAAGAACCTAAGAAGTTAAAGGACAGAAGCAGATGTGAGCCCCGGTGAAATCTCCCAGAGTTCAGACGGGGAGTGATTGACAGATGGATTCGCCAATCACGCACCGGCTGAATGAGGATCCCAAAGCGAGAACGTGCGTGTGTTCAGCCAAGCCATCTTTAGCCCATCACAGTTTAGGGAGTGAATGGAACCAACACGACCAGACCTCATGTGTTTCTTATCCAAATGATTAAACCCCGTAAACTCTGATGGGAAACTCCTTGTATGGACCTCTGGATAATCCCATTCAAAATCCCTGCTGTGGTGGTTATGTCTTTATTAAGTGACCTGAGAGAGGCAGATATATTTACACAGCATGGCATTGAAACGGAGGGGACTGTTTGTTTTTGGAACGCTCTCTGTCACTCAGCTGTGCGATAATCCAACTGGAAACCGCAGCTATTTTTAGTCGGCCTTTCCGCGCTGCGCTCCGCTCCTCTCACACTGCCCCAACTCCTCTTGTGCAGACGGCGGGAAACGTGCTCCAGGTATCGTGTTCGGCCGCTCCGCTCCTCTCGTGCTGTAGGTGCGTGTTTTTTTAGATCTAACTCACGGGATTTAACATATATAGCTGCACTCAGGTTAGTTTAAGATGATACTAAGTTGTTTTTTTTTTACAGGAAAGACAGTCAAGTTTTGGCTTTCTTGAGAATATCAAACATCAATATGTAGATTTTTTTATGTCCACTGCTTAATATTCACCAACAAAAGCAGTTTTAATGATGGAAGCAACTTAAAATGTGTTTGTTTATTTCTTACGGAAAGACTAACTCAAATTTACTTGCTTAAAATTTTCAAAACATGTGAGGCAGTACGTCAAGGTAGATTTGTTGTCATTGATGCTGCAAGTCAAAGGTTTAATTGTTGTTTCTAAAAGCTCACGATTAAATGGTGCCAAACCTGCATGACACAAACAGAGGATTACATTATAATTTATGTTGTGGTTTATGTTTTTGTTTACATTTGGGTGTCTTGCTCAGGGGTCAGCAGGCGAGGCTTGAACTGAAATTTCTCTGATAAGGAGGAAAATACTTAACCCTGTGTCACTTAACAAATTAGCATCTTTTAAGTATGTATTTTTGGTTTTTAACAGCGACTAGAAGAATGTTAAAAGTGCTCTATGAAGCTTCTGTGGTGGTAGAGTCTGTTGCTTGCTTGTCACCATGGAGATGCTGCTTTGCTGAGTTGCTTTGCCTGAAATATTCCACAGTATGGCATTAAACGGAGCCATGTCGCTTTTTCTAGTTTAGATTGAATATTCAAATAATCAGTAGTCGAAACATTCCCATGGAGTTGGATGGTAGGCTTCACACCAGAAAGATACACAGTACAGCTTTAACTTACACAAACGCAAAACGAGCTTTTCTTGAGCTTTTCACAATGTTATATGTTGTTCCTGCGTCTGAATTTGTGTTTTGTTTCATTCACGCTTGTTTCATTGGAGTCAGCCCTATGTTCCCTCAGCCCTATGTTTCCTTATTTCTAAGATTTTTCTGAGAATGAGTCTCTAAGTCAAGTCATTTTTATTTTTATCTCACATTTAAAAGGGATGATTCAGAGTCATTTCAACCTCCTTTGCACCTCGACGTCTGCATTACATCCAGGGGTGTAGTGGGCGTGGTACGCGGGGGTACGCCGTCCAGCCACTTCTCCCGACATGAGAAATAAAAAAAATAACAAATATAAAATAGCTACAACTTAAATGTCAAACTGGAGCTACTGACAATGATGAAAACAAACAACATAGGCTCATTCTGTCTCCATGTCCAATAGTGACCTGAGACATGAGGGACCAGGACTGAACCACGAGTAAAACAGATCTAAAACAGGACTAAGCCAGAACTAAACCAGGACTAAGTGTTGGGATGGGCCCGGAGATGCGCCCACGTAGACTGTCGGGTGACCGCAGGTGAAAAGACCGGCGCAGACTAATCAAGTTCAAGATTAGTCCTGGTTTAGTCTTGATTTAGACCTGGTTTAGACCTGGTTTAGTCCTGGTTTAGTCTTGGTTTTAGTCCTGGTTTAGACCTGGTTTAGTCCTGGTTTAGTCCTGGTTTAGACTTGGTTTAGACCTGGTTTAGTCCTGGTTTAGTCCTGGTTTAGTCCTGATTTAGACCTAGTTTAGTCCTGGTTTAGACCTAGTTTAGTCCTGGTTTAGACCTGGTTTAGTCCTGGTTTAGACCTGGTTTAGACCTAGTTTAGTCCTGGTTTAGATCTGGTTTAGTCCTGGTTTAGTCCTGGTTTAGTCCTGGTTTAGTCCTGGTTTAGACCTGGTTTAGACCTAGTTTAGTCCTGATTTAGAACTGGTTTAGACTTGGTTTAGTCCTGGTTTAGACCTGGTTTAGACCTAGTTTAGTCCTGGTTTAGATCTGGTTTAGACCTGGTTTGATCCTGGTTTAGTCCTGGTTTAGACCTGGTTTAGACCTAGTTTAGTCCTGGTTTAGTCCTGGTTTAGAACTGGTTTAGACTTGGTTTAGTCCTGGTTTAGACCTAGTTTACCTGGTTTAGTCCTGGTTTAGTCCTGGTTTACCTGGTTTAGACCTGGTTTAGACCTAGTTTAGTCCTGTTTAGTCCTGGTTTAGAACTGGTTTAGACTGGTTTAGACCTAGTTTATCCTGGTTTAGTCCTGGTTTAGACCTGGTTTAGACCTGGTTTAGTCCTGGTTTAGTCCTGGTTTAGACCTGGTTTAGTCCTGGTTTTAGTCCTGGTTTAGACCTGGTTTAGTCCTGGTTTAGTCCTGGTTTAGACCTAGTTTAGTCCTGGTTTAGTCCTGGTTTAGACCTAGTTTAGTTTAGACCTGGTTTAGACCTGGTTTAGACCTGGTTTAGTCCTGGTTTAGACCTAGTTTAGTCCTGGTTTAGAACTGGTTTAGACCTGGTTTAGTCCTGGTTTAGTCCTGGTTTAGACCTGGTTTAGTCCTGGTTTAGTCCTGGTTTAGACCTAGTTTAGTCCTGGTTTAGAACTGGTTTAGACCTAGTTTAGACCTGGTTTGATCCTCTTGGTTCAGTCACGAATCACATACGCCACTTAAAAAATCCCCACTGCAGCACTGATTACACTTGTCGTCAACTGCTGCTGGAGAATAGTTTGGGTGTAATTGACGACCAGATTGGGAGAAATGGGGATAAATTCTGATGCAAATTGACGATAAAGGAAATGGGAACAAAGGGCCTAATTTTAGAAAGAAGAAAAAAAACCTTAGAAGTGTAGGAACATAGGGCTGAGGGAACATAGGCACACATCCATTTCATTAATCCATTAAGCCAAAGTCGTCTTCCTTGAGCACTTTTTGTATTTTTTTCAATTTGTATTTTCCTCACATTGTTTCATCCCAGATCAAACTCCAGACTTTTCCTGTGCAGCTTTTAAGCCCAAAAAACATCACTCTAGAGTCATTCTACAGCCAACAAACACAATTCAGGCTACATTTGTTGATTTTACCATTGTTAATACTTAATTGAAAAACAGAGGTGTAGTTTATAAAGGTTCATTGTGTAACTTTTCATGGTCCACCAAACGCTTTTCTCAGTGGAAATGTTATTGCTTTGTCTGGGAAGTTTCATAGTATAACAAGACGTTAGTCCAGTCAGAATGCCTTTTTTTTTTTTTTGAGCACTAAAACCAAATGTAATTGTAAGGCAGAGCTGTTTAATGTCACACTGTGGGACATTCCAGGTACAGCAATGACATCTCCATAGAAACAAGAAGATGACAGACCCCCAACCAAAAATTACACAGTGCACCAAGTTAGAAAATGTGAAACGCTTATCCCAAAGTGACAAAAAAACACGTTTAAAAGGGAATTTAAGCCACAAGAACGCGTAATATCCATTAAGAAATTTCAAAACTGTTTAAATTCCAATTGAGGAGTCGTGTTGGGATGGGCCCGGAGATGCGCCCACGTAGACTGTCGGGTGACCGCAGGTGAAAAGACCGGCGCAGACTAATCAAGTTCAAGATTAGTCCTGGTTTAGTCTTGATTTAGACCTGGTTTAGACCTGGTTTAGTAGTCCTGGTTTAGACTTGGTTTAGACCTGGTTTAGTCCTGATTTAGACCTAGTTTAGTCCTGGTTTAGACCTGGTTTAGTTTAGTCCTGGTTTTTAGATCTGGTTTAGACCTGGTTTGATCCTGGTTTAGTCCTGGTTTAGATCTGGTTTAGACCTGGTTTGATCCTGGTTTAGTCCTGGTTTAGTGCTGGTTTAGACCTGGTTTAGACCTAGTTTAGTCCTGATTTAGAACTGGTTTAGACTTGGTTTAGTCCTGGTTTAGACCTGGTTTAGACCTAGTTTAGTCCTGGTTTAGACCTGGTTTAGTCCTGGTTTAGACCTGGTTTAGTCCTGGTTTAGACTTGGTTTAGACCTGGTTTAGTCCTGGTTTAGTCCTGGTTTAGTCCTGGTTTAGTCCTGGTTTTAGTCCTGGTTTAGACCTGGTTTAGTCCTGGTTTAGACCTGGTTTAGACCTGGTTTAGTCCTGGTTTAGACCTGGTTTAGTCCTGGTTTAGACCTGGTTTAGACCTAGTTTAGTCCTGGTTTAGATCTGGTTTAGACCTGGTTTGATCCTGGTTTAGTCCTGGTTTAGTGCTGGTTTAGACCTGGTTTAGACCTAGTTTAGTCCTGATTTAGAACTGGTTTAGACTTGGTTTAGTCCTGGTTTAGACCTGGTTTAGACCTAGTTTAGTCCTGGTTTAGACCTGGTTTAGTCCTGGTTTAGTCCTGGTTTAGACTGGTTTAGTCCTGGTTTAGTCCTGGTTTAGTCCTGATTTAGACCTAGTTTAGTCCTGGTTTAGACCTGGTTTAGTCCTGGTCCTGGTTAGTCCTGGTTTTGGTTTAGACCTGGTTTAGTCCTGGTTTAGACCTGGTTTAGACCTAGTTTAGTCCTGGTTTAGACCTGGTTTAGTCCTGGTTTAGACCTGGTTTAGACCTAGTTTAGTCCAAAAATTACACAGTGCACCAAGTTAGAAAATGTGAAACGCTTATCCCAAAGTGACAAAAAACACGTTTAAAAGGGAATTTAAGCCACAAGAACGTGTAATATCCATTAAGAAATTTCAAAACTGTTTAAATTCCAATTGAGGAGTCGTGTTCTTAATAGTTTTTCCTTATTTTATTTTGGCCGTGCAATGCTGACTTCATCACAGGCCTGACACGGTTACATGCACTGACAGCCCACTCTTCATTCTGACGGGCAGGTGATAAAGTGACACCGACTTGTTGGTTTATTTCATTATCACTCATTTTGACAAGCGGCTCAGTGTTAATGTGCGTATATGATATGCTGCAATATAGTGTCCTTAATAATAACACCATTGTGAGACATTTTTGTAAGAGAATACTCCTGAATTTGTGCCACGTGTCAAGAGACGAGAGAAAGAGACAGAGGCGCTTTATTGATCCCAAGGGAAATTCAGGTTTTACACTGCATTTTACACTGCGCCTTTTGTGTCGCAGTCAAAGGTCTCAATGCAGTTTAACCCTTCCAAACCGACGGTATCGAATATGATACCAGCGGACGTGTTTTATATAACTGCGCAAAACTTTTCAACCATAAAAGATAGAAACTTAATCTACGTTTACACTGAAACGAATCCGCGTATCACCGTATCGGAAATGATCTGCATCCAGACATGTCGTTTCTGTGTCCGCGAGCCTTCCCTATCCACACAGCTTTGAGCATATTTGTTTACGTTTTACAGAAATGACACTTAAAACCGCATGACTCATTTATATAAACTATGCGCTCAAAAAACAGGTTGCTTTGTGCGCTGATGCGGTTCAGCTTCTGTCGGACTAAAGGACACGACTCAGTGGAATATGAGTGTTCTTTCTGTGACAGAGGGGTGTTCTGCTGATGGTGAGTCTGTTCTGTGCTTCTATCATGTTGGAGATGGTTCATGTTAAACTTTTCAGAGATTATACGTCTGCAGGTCGTACACACAGACGTTTATATAAATGGATATATATTCTAGCCTCTTAGCGTTTTGGTGGTGAATTACTTCGCGGCTCATAGACCTACATCAGCGTATCAGCGTTTTCAGGCGTCCACACAGTGCCGGATCAGATCTGTACTCAGATGAATTCGTGGGAGCTGGAGGCACCAGATCTTTCCGTCTCTGGAGCCGTTTTCAATCAGATTAGTGTGGACGAACACTGCATCCACAACGAAAACGACTTGAATTCATACTAGTCTGGACGGGGCCTTACTTTTTTTGCTTGAATTTCTGACAGTTTCAGCTTTCCAAGGATATTTCCGGTGTTATCCTACGTCCTACACACGGTGCATGATGACGTTGGGAGTTTATAATAGGAACTTTGTTTTCCACCAAACACATGCAGCTCCATCCATTTTGATCGGCCCAAACTTTACCAAAGAGTGTAGTGAGTCAAAATGGTCGATGCTCTGAGCGTCTGTGTGCGTTTCAATTGAAAAAGCCGCTCTAAGTGCAGTTATTACTCAAATAAATGGCAAAATGCATCCCCAAAAGCAATTTTTATTTGAAAGGTTTATTTCAGTCCAAAATGTACAAATCCAAATGTAATAAACACCATGGAAATGCAGGAAGTGATGTGGCTCTGTGCTTTGGACCTGACATGAGCTGTTTCCATGACTGACACCTGGAAAGACATTATTTTGTTTTTGAGGGCAATAAGTTTTTAGTTTATTTTTTATTGTATATATTTTTTGTTTTGCACATTTGCATATTTTGCACTTTTGTTGCTAAGGCCCTAAATTAAGCATTTTTTATGTCCAAAAAGTTGTTTATACATGTTTGCTGTGTGTTCTGTATGAAAGAGTAATTTTTATTTTTTTATTTTTTCATTTGTATTTCTAGTCCTGTAGCTTTTATTACAGTCATATGACACAACTACAGCAGCAGATAGTGAAATAACAGGTTGTACTGAAAAAAGGATTTATAACACTTCATTAGGCGGTAAAAAGGGGAGTTTTAAATGCATAATTAATAAAAAAATAAATAAATCCAGGCGAGGACAAATGTATTAAAATTACCCTTAGCTCTGGAAAGGTTAACAGAACCCAGGTGGGGTCAACAGATCCTGTATCACGTCAGTTTGAGAAGAGGAAGCGCTGAAATGTATGCATATAATTTATCGCTGGGTTTCAGATGACATTACAGCACCCTATAAGTCAATTATATTTATTACAGGTGACAGCAGCTAAAACTGATACGTTCAGGGGTGTAGTGGGCGTGATACACGGGGGGTCCGCTTAAATGTCTTAAACTTAAATGTCACACCGGAGCTATTGGCAATGGTTAAAACAAACTGCACAGGCTCATGATATCTGTACTACTGTCCTACAGAGACCTGAGACATGAAATCAGGACTAAAGCAGGACTAAAACAGAACTGAACCAGGACTGAGTGTTGGGACAGGCCTGGAGGTGCACCCGTGTAGACCGTTGGGTGATCGCAGGAGAAAGGACCAGCGCAGAGCTCCAGTGCACAGGGCTAAGCGCAGCCGACGTCCTGCTCCACGGGCTCTGGGTTCTTCCTCTCGCTCTGAAGTCCAAAATTGTCCTGGTCCTGGTTTAGTGTTGGTTTGGTCCTGGTTTAGACCTGGTTTAGTCCTGGTTTAGTACTGGTTTAAACCTGGTTTAGACCTGGTTTAGTCCTGGTTCAGTTCTGGTTTAATCCTGTTTTAGCTCCTTTTAGTCCTGGTTCAGTTCTGGTGTTCTGGTTTAGTCCTGGTTTAGACCTGGTTTAGACCTGGTTTAGACCTGGTTCAGTTCTGGTTTAGTCCTGGTTTAGACCTGGTTTAGTCCTGGTTCAGTCCTGGTTTAGTCCTGGTTTAGACCTGGTTTAGTCCTGGTTCAGTTCTGGTTTAATCCTGTTTTAGCTCCTTTTAGTCCTGGTTCAGTTCTGGTTTAGTCCTGGTTCAGCCCTGGTTCAGTCCTGGTTTAGACCTGGTTTAGTCCTGGTAAAGTTCTGGTTTAGTCCTGGTTTAGTCCTGGTTCAGCCCTGGTTCAGTCCTGGTTTAGACCTGGTTTAGTCCTGGTAAAGTTCTGGTTTAGTCCTGGTTTAGACCTGGTTTAATCCTGGTTCAGTTCTGGTTTAGTCCTGGTTTAGACCTGGTTTAGTCCTGGCCTAGACCTGGTTTAGACCTGGTTCAGTTCTGGTTTAGTCCTGGTTCAGCCCTGGTTCAGTCCTGGTTTAGACCTGGTTTAATCCTGATTCAGTTCCGGTTAGGTCCTGGTTTATTCCTGGTTCAGTTCTGGTTTAGACCTGATATAGTCCTGGTTTAGACCTGGTTTAGTTCTGGTTTAGTCCTGGTTCAGTTCTGGTTTAGACCTGATATAGTCCTGGTTTAGACCTGGTTTAGTCCTGGTTTAGACCTGGTTCAGTCCTGGTTCATGTGTTGTAGTCTATGATTTATGTTCTGTGGGTGATTATAATCGGTGTTAATGTTTTTAACATGATTCCACATAATTTTGAGTTAAAAAAAAAAAAACATCAAATATTAGTGACTTTTACTGGGCTTTATGTTTGTTTGGGGGAGATCACATCGATGACGTCACGAATCACGTACCCCCACTTAAAAATCCCCATTACACCACTGGATATGGGTAAAATGCAGTTTTTTGTTGTAGTACAGTGAGTTCATGTGTCCAGTCACTAAAAGAAATGATCAGGTTCAACATTTGTGATTTTACCTTTTGGTTATTTATGGCTAAAAACAGAAAAAATAGAAAAATCTGACTCTTGCCTTCCATCAAATCCATCACATTCATAACTATCAATGCTAAATATTTGCTTAATATCGCAGGAAATTAAAATGCATGGTGATTTAAGTAGTGGGTGGTGGTTACTAGTAGCAGTGTTAATTTTGATTTAAAAAAATATGAAACTGTTAAAGTCCTGCTTGTGTAATATATTTTGCAGTGTAGTTTAGTAAAAGTTTGTTGATAAAATGTTTGATTTAAACATTAGGATTCATTCAAGCACCACCTCCTCAGATATAAGGTCAGATTTATTTTTCTTATTTTTAGCTCTACTTTACTTTATGGGGATCATTTCGTGACCCAGATAGTTTCAGTTGTTCTGCACGACTTCTATGTGTTTATGCCAGGTGCTTGAACAACGTGATTGAGGTACACCACTGGCCTTGTAAACAGTTGTAAACAGCTATTTGCAGAGAAGGCGGCAGTCGTTTCATTGTTAAACTTATCAGAGCCTGACCTGACCTGTTGTATTTCTGTTGCACTTGCGTGAGTCAAGGCTAAAACACAGGCCAAGGCTCCATCCACACTAAGACGTATTTGAGTCGTTTTCGTTGTGGATGCAGTGTTGATCCACACTAATCCGACGGAAAACGGCTCCAGAGACGGAACGATCTGTTGCCGCCAGCTCCAAGAATTCATTCCGTGTGGACGCCTGAAAACGCTGATACACTGATGTAGGCGCTCTAGTTGCGTCCTTATTGAACCGCAACACTGTGAATTGCTCCTTCCTGATTCGCTGGTTTCGTGACATCGGTCATGTGACGCTGTTGCGGAAAACAGTTTAAACAAACCAGAGACAAACGGGAAACCACGTAGCTACAACTACTTACTAGTACACAGTCCACGAAAAGACTATTTTTACGCTTGCCATCTTCCTCTGCTCAAAATGCTGCTGGAACTTACTAGCGTTTCAGGCAGTTTCGTATTAAAGGGCAAAGTATAGTTCTATAGATCTGTGTGTACGGCGTGCAGATGTATAATCTCTGAAAATTTTTACATGAACCATCTCCAACACGATAGAAACACAGAACAGACTCACCATCAGCAGAACAACCCTCTGTCACAGAAAGAACACTCATATTCCACTGAGTCATGTCCTTTTTAATCTGACAGAAGCTGACCGTGTTTATACAAATTCGCCATGTGGTTTTACGTTCCGTTTCTGTAAAACGTAAACAAATACGCGCAAAGGTGTGTGGATAGGGAAGGTTTATGGGCACAGAAACGACGTGTCTGGACACAAATCGTTTTCGATACGGTGATACGTTTTAGTGTAAACATAACCTAAGACCCTACCTTTCTAAAAACACTGCATTTGTGAAGTGTTGTTATCATGTTATCAGTGACATGCACCTTGTATCTCCCTGTCTACTCTCTGATCTGTCCATATTTATACATTTTTGTGTAAATTGTAAAGAAAAAAAAAAAAAAAACTCTTAAGGGATTACATTACAGTGGAAATGAATGTGAATAACGCTCAAGCAACTGGAACGAGCCAGATGCCACTGCGCACAGAGCCTGTTTCCCTCTGCTGACCTCTTCAACAAGCCGCGTTTAAGAGTTCAGAAAATAGTGACCCACATAATTTGAATATTTGTTTTACAGGGGGCTTCATCTGAGTACCACCTACACCTGCACAGCGCTTGAAAAATATATGATGGAAGTCAAGCTGTGATTCGAATTTGCGTATTTCATCAAGAAGAAACAACCACCGCTAGACACTTTCACAGCCAGAACAGATATCGCCCATATCCATGACTGTGGGAAGGAGAGAGGAGACATGCAAGGAGCCAAGGGAGGAAGGAAGTGAAGGAGACATGAAGAGGCCTTTGTCGATCACTGCTCTCAGCACCATCGCCGTTCAGTCTGGACAAACGCAAATAGTCGTATCTGTGCTCAAGGTAAGACATCACTGTGATTATCATGCTTAAAATGCATTATTTATTCAGTCCACACTTGGCTGGGGTAAATCACTGTTGTAGCCACAGCTGCCTTGAGGCGAACTGATAAAAGTAAAGCTGCCATAGTCCAACGAGGTGCATTTGATCTTCTGATAATTTATGTTATTAGGTTATTTTTTCAGACCAAGAGTTTCTTTTCATACCTGACAGTTTCGAGCAAACATCACTGGGATAGTTGAAAAAAACAAAACACTGTTGCTGGATTAAAGAGGCAATCAAAATATGAAAACATGCCCAAGGGACTATAAACCGGGACATGGGGGCTTTTTTACTGTCACACACCTGGGATACTGTCCTGAGGAAGCTGGACTGCAGGTGGCGCTGTCATCCTGCCTCCACCGGTAGGAAGACAGCACCAAAACCTGTTTAAATCAGCTGATGAGACACGTCACAGCAACATCACGTGACTCAGGAAGACCGGTAGTGAGCAGTCGAAACTGTCAGGTATGAAAACAAACTCTTGGTCTGAAAAAAGAACCTAATAACATAAAGTAAAGCTGCCAGTTTGGGGCACAACACCAATACTTGCACCAAATTGATGCTAGGAAATGTGGGTGAAGGGTCTTGCCTAAGGACACAGCAACAGTTTTTACCACTGGCGTCCCACTGTGGCACCTTATATTCCCAGGGTCTCCCATCCAAGTACTAACCAGGCCCAGCCCGGCTGAGTTTCTGAGATCTGATGAGATCAAGCTTTGACAAGGCGGTTTGGCCACAAACGTGTTAAAACATGCTTTGGTCCTCTTGGTATTTCAGGGTTCAGAACTTAATATAAAGCCTACACAATCCCTACTTCCAAACAAATAGATTTGTATTTGCTGAAAAAAGGCAGAAAAAGAAATACTTTTAGCAGCCATTTGGCAAAACAAGGTTAATGACATAAGCCTGAATGCTGCAAAATATAATTCAGGAATGTTTTTGATGCAGCATATTGTTGTCTCAAGGCAAGACACTTCCCCCACAGTTTTTAATCCAAGAACAGTTTCCGGCTGATTGTGATTGACTGGAAAGGCATCTGGCTTCAAAATCAGTCGTGTGACTATCTCGACCCATCTCCTTGAACTGATCCTGGAGGAAATACAGTAATTCAGTCATGTCCAGAAAATCTCAAACATCAACACACATCCTACGTCAATATTAACGTAATAAAGATCTCCATTAATGGAAATCTGCCCTGTATTTAAAATCAGACGGGCTGGGATGAGCTCTTAAGAGGAAGCTTTGAGATGTAAACCTCACGTGCCTGAGCAGTACACATTCCTCTGGTGGATAGATTATCTGAGGCATGTCAACGTGACACGCAACTGTCACCCTTAGGTGTCATATCCTTCACACTCTGATGGGCGGTGAAAACCACCCACTGGGGCTAGTGTAAAACAATATATTTTTAATTTTTTGTTTTTGAAGCCATGCAGAGTGACTACAAAAATATCTACCTATTAAGCAAAATTGACTATTGACCTATCAAAGTTGTATTTGGAGTTATCTGAGTGTGTTTGAACAATCTTTAATCACTTATTTTCAAGACGCCATATTGCAGTTCAATCTGTGTTTCATTTGTTCATTCATTTTTTTCAAAATAAAACCCAAAATAAGAAAACAAAAAACAACTATTTTCTATATTATTTGCCTCCAAAACCAAAATGAAAAAATGGATAAGGATTTGTTTTTTTGAGTTTTTCAGTGACTTAAAATGCAATGCTGGACTTTTGCACCACATACGGACTAAACCAGGATTGCAGCAGGACTGAGTGTCGGGACGGGCCCAGAGGTGCACCCACGTTGACTGTCGGGTGATCAGGACTAAGACCAGGACCAGACCAGAACAAGATCAGGACTGAGACCAGGACTGAGACTGAGACCAGAACCAGACCGAGACAAGATCAGGATTCAGACCGGGATCAGACAGGAGACTGAGACCGGGACTGAGACCGGAACCAGACCAGGACAGAGAACGGTTTATACCCAGTTTAGACCTGGTTTAGACCTGTTTTAGTCCTGAGTCAATCCTGGTTCGTTTTTTTCAATATTCACTTAAACACAAAATCGAAAACTTAAAAACAAATTGTTATCCGTTTTTTTATTAATTTTGGTTTTGGAGACAAATCGTGAAGAAAATAGTTGTTTTTTCGTCTTCTTATTTTTGGATTTAGAAAAACAAACGAACGAATGATACACGGATTCAGTTCAATCCCCGTTTTCACCACCAATTGTTCCATACTTTGTTCTCTTCTTCTTTTTTTTCCCAATGTATTGGATTCAGCAGAGTCGTGTAGTAATTTTGGTAGAAATTGAAAAAAATTGCAACTCCCCAGCATGATCTACAGCTATCCAACGTATTTTCAGACACTTTGTCGTGATTACACTTACGGCGAAATCAACTCTGATTTGAAATGTTTTAAAGTAACGATCGGTGTTGATATTTTATCTTGAAAAGGGAAAGGAAGACAGACAACATAAAATGACTCTTCTTCTTTCTGCTCCTGTTTGATGTTGTGACACTGTTGATGTCTTTTTATACTTTATGAATGAAATAAATAAACAAATAATAATAAAAAAAAATAATAATAAAAATAACTCCCGACATCAGAAGCTTTTAAATCAGCAGACTTGTTTCTTTTCTTGTACAGGAGACTGCTGAGAATATCAAGTGCTGCAGTGGATCTTGCAGAAACTGTTGTTGTGTCTTTAGGCATGACACTCCTGACACCTACTTATCTTATTATGCTTGTGGAGTGTGCATTAGTGAGGCTGATGATGCAGATTGGCAGCCAGGGCAGCTGTGGCTCCAACAGTTTATTACCAAGTGTGGAGTGAACGCACAGTAAAGCCCTTTGGAGGAAGAACGTTTCGGACCCTCCACCTAAAAATGAAGTGAAATACAATCTGCAGAAACAAAAATATCACACGCAGGAACTCTGAAAGTAAAAGTAGATTCGTTAGAGTGACCACTTGAAATAATATAGCTAAATATGGAACGTGTTTGAACAAGACTTTAACTTTTATCTATAACCAAACCTATACATCTTATTACACTGGACAACATGGACATTTGATAAGGGAGTTTCTCAGGACCTTTTTCTCTGAGGGGCAGGAGGTGTGGTTCTCTCACGTGTCTCCCCTGGTGCAGCGTCAGTCTGAGCCGGGCTAAAACTGGACACTGCGATGGCGCTGATGAAACGGGCTCTAACACAGACTGTTCACAAGAGGGTTACGCAACACTCATTGTATAGTTCAGTATTGGTGTAATTTAAAAGTCCTATATTACGCAACGTGTACTCTTGTGAGCCATGTTTTAATGCTGTTACCTCATCATAAACATAGCATGGGTTGTGTTTTGTTTCATTAACACGTGTTTGAATAATCCTGCATTATTAGTCTTTGAACGCCTCTAAATATAAGGGCCTGTTTACAAGAGAACGCTTGCGGGTAAAAACGACTAAATATTTTATCGGAAGTGCCTTTTGTTTAGACAGTGAAGGCGTTTTTAACATATAACATATAATCTTAAATTGAAAGGGTACAAATACGATGAGCAATGGGAAAAATGGAATGTATTCATAAATGACACCAGTAAAACAACATAGTACATAAAAATGTCAATACTAAATGCATGTTTAAATAAGAACCTGTAATTCCAGATTGTTGTTACATTGTTTTTGATTTTATATTGTTTTTGTACGTTTTGAAATGTTACTTAAAACCAGTAAAAAAAACCCTCGCAAAAATCTGAAAACAACCTCCAGAGTGGAAAAGTTGAATACTGCACTGCCAAGACACAAAACTCTGGTCAGATCTGCTCACGTCACGAACACGTTTACGCAAATTTCACACACTTTTGCGTCACCGTATGCATGCAGATTTGCTCCTGAAAACGCTCGTCTAAACGCGGAATAAAAAGTGAAGACACGACACCACTTTTGCGTCTTCTGTTCAGACCGTCTTCATATAAACGTAGCCTCAAATTGCTCTGTTCCATCTTGTGATCTTGTATCTGTACTGGAACTAGACAAATTTGGGTCAAATACATCAGAAAAATCAGGGACCAGACTTTTAAGGACATTATGTCTATATGATCTGTTGTTGTAGTCCCTATTTTGAGCCTACATTTCTTTATGTGTTGCAGAGTGGCTCCTCTGTGCACCTCCAGTTGGTTCATGTTGAGCCAGGACTGTGTGAGATTGGGTCAAACCAAGAGGACAACCAGACCCTGATACATGAACAGAAACAGCTGCTGGGAAAGCTGCAGGTACAGTCTATAATCACACCAGAAGAAATTTAATTCAGATTTGAAAGCTTCTGTATGAGGGAGTGTACCAGGCCAAGGAGAACTTTGAGATATTTACGTTTGAGGTTTTGAGTCTCTCTAAATCTCCAAACCTCACAATGCTCTGTTCCACCTTGGGATTTCATGAAGGTTTAGTTTTCAATTTAATAGTCACATTCTTTTGTTTAGCTTATAAATAAATATTATTACTGTTATTAAAAATCCAGGTCCATAAGTAATTCTGAAAGCGACATCCTCAGTGAAGTGGTGAGCTTTCCGGGGGATACACACAATTCTTTTATTCTACACAGCAATTTTCTAGCCAGACGTAGTGCCTCCGCTCAGTTTCATTTCTCTCCAGCGACTAGGTCAGGAATCAGAATACACTAGACAGTTTGCAAGAACCCCGGAAGTTGTAGACCGCGCACTGGCCAATCAGTGAAGATCTGTGAAGCCATGACAGCAAACTCAAGCATCTGTCTGGACTCCTTTTATGGAACAGCACAACAGTAAATAAAGTGGTTGAGATGGATGTAGACAAAGACAGACATTTAAAGCCGGAACAAAGAGAATGTTTGACCAAATAGCAGTGACTGGTTAAATTAAAAAAAGTACCTGCCAAGCGAATTAATTCTAATGCTGACGGTCTCCATGAAGTGAAACTGGCTGATGAATCAGGCTAGTAATTTTCGCCCACCAAGGAAAAAAAAAGTTTGGGGCAGTCCTGGTCTTTGAATTTGAAAAAAATTATAATAAAATAGCTTCAATCACTAACAAAGCTATAACAGAGATTTTGTTGTATTGTTTTTTTTGATGAAATAACTGTTCTTATTCTCATATCCTTTAGAAACATGAGGGCGAGGTGCTGTCATCTGTTCAGAAGAAGCGTGAGGAGCAGCGCAGACAGAAGCAGGACATATGGACGTGTGGAGAGAGGAGAACACAGGAAGAGGAGGAGAAAGAGGAGGGAGTGTACCGGGCCATGGAGAACTCTCTGAGGGAGGGCTGGGTTCTGCTGCTGCGGCTGCTAGACAAACGGCTCCACGCTCTGACCCTGGCTGCAGACTTCTACCACACAGTTCATGAGGTAAATGGAGAACTTTTGTCACATTTCACTGGCGGCATTGACATAATCCTGTTAAGGTGAAGTAAAATAAACTGGGTAACTTTTCTGGTGTTTGGTCTGTCGTCTTCTTGTCTTCATGGAGAAACATTTGTGCTATAACCTTCCACAAAAGTTGCACCTTCAACGGTCCAACATACATTTGCATTATAATATACTACTTTTGGGCATTAGCATTGGAGTATGATGTCTAAAATTTTGGATTTCTGAGGATACAAAATAGTATTATTAAAGTCTGGCTAAACTTTTTAAATTCCATAAACATCTGTGTCCCCAGATACAAAGAAAACATGTTCAAATCCAGTAAAGCTTTTACAGTAAAGATTATAATGCTGATATATTCTTAGTCATTTTCACACTGTCACAAGTTAAGTCGATGTGAAAGAGCATTGGCACTTTGTGCGCTTGGGTCGGTGTGAACTTAACAGGCGCATTCATGAGTGCAGTAAATGACTCCTCTGAGAATGTTTGAAACAGGTGGTCTCTGAGGCTACGTTTATATGACGATGGTCTGAACAGAAAACGCAAAAGTGGCGTTGTGTCCTCACTTTTTATTCTGTGTTTAGATGGGCATTTTTGGGAGGAAATCTGCGTGCATACAGTAATGCAAAAGTGTGTGGAATTCAGCTGGGTATGCATGCCAGGGGGCTTCTCCCAGGTCTCGTCCATAACCGTCTGGCTATAGCTTTCACATGACACTGTGGGGGAAAAAAAAAAAAACATATGCAAAATGTACACAAGTAGTCCTCAAGGGTGTCAGGAAAAAAACTGTAAGACAACATATACAGTGCCTTTATAGATCTAATGTTAGCCTGATTCATCAGAAGGTTTCACTTTGTGGAAAACGTCTGATCTCGCAGCATTAGGATTCGTTCGCTCGACGGTAGGCGGGTACTTTTTTATTTAACCAATCACTTCTGTTTGGCCGTGACTTATGTAATGCACCAAATCCCATAGGAAGAAGGGCAATAACGTGTTTCCCCTTGATAAAATTCACCAAGCATTCTCTTTGTTCCAGCTTTAAATCCTCGATTTCGGAAATTATTGCCAACACAAAATGTCTGTCCATCTCAGTCGCTTTGTTTACTGTTGTGCTGTACCACAAAAGCGATCCAAACAAGCGCTTGAGTTTGACGTCATGGCTTCACGGCTCTTTGCTGATTGGCCGGTGTGCGGTCTACAACTTCCAGGGTTCTTGCAAACCGTCTAGTGTATTCAGATTCCTGACCTAGTCGCTGGAGAGAAATGAAATTGAGCGGAGGCCCTAGGTGGCGCCAGCCTGGCTAACCTAATGATGTCACAAAGTATAACAGTGTTTTGACAATGTCTGAAATGTTCATTGGCTTCTGTATGTGAACTCTATAAAATGCATAAACTTACACAACAGGTAAAATCCTCTAGTGAAGTTAGTCCTGGCCAAATCTAGCTCAAGATATGAAGGTCAGTCCCCATGCCCACTGCTCCTGATGGGTCAAATGCAGTGGACAAATTTCTCTACAGAGACACTACATGATAAGAACATAATAACACTATTGAAAACTGTAAAACTGTAAAAATCCAGGTCTGAGTTATGCCTTTGCTCTTTCCCCTTGAAGCCCAGATCACATTTCTCTGCAGTACTGCTGTTAGCGTGTGGTGGTGGTGGTTAAACATGTCCGTTGGCTGCCTTCCATTTTACACAGCCACCTGCTGTTTGGCCAACACCATCTGCCACGGCCCTTTGTCTGAAACAGTTCAACAATGGGCTCTCATGTGTGCCGTTTTACCTTTAACAAGCAGACAGGGGCCCGCGCACTTCACACAGAGCGACTCTAGCCTCCCTCTGCTCCTTGTGTCAGCAGCACCACCATTTTTACATTCTTGTTTTACTTGTGTTTAGATAAAGAGCTAAAAATAACAGCTTGTGGTGAAACACTATGGGAACGCTTCAGCAACTTTAGTTAATAAGATCACGAAGGGTCTAATTGGATGAGAAGAGGTTAGGTCCGTGTGAACAAGGTAAAGGCATCGGCTCTTGTTTAAATAAAAAAAGGCACTAAAAATGAGAACTGAACCTAAATTGCCAGAGCCGCAACTTCTAGATAAACCTCTTTACAACAGAGCCCCGTTTGAAGGTCCCAAGTGGACGACTGAAGGTACTACTTTCCAACGGGGTCCAGCACGGTTAGGACCTGGGACCTGTTCACAGGGGGCACGGCGTAAAACAGATATAATTATTATTTAAAAAGCACCTTTTGTGCTTGTTAGCAATTTAAGGTGCTTTCCAGAATCATAATAAAAACTGAATTACATGTTAGTACATAATTAGAACAATAAAAAAATACAGAAAACAATTAATTATAGTAGAGGAACAGGATAGTCCATTTAATGCAATCAAGTTGGAATCATGAGCTCTGGGTAGTAATCGAAAGGACAAGATCGCGGATACAAGTGATCGAAATGAGTTTCCTCCGCAGGGTGGCTGGGCCCTCCCATAGAGATAGGATGAGGAGCTTGGTTACACGGGAGAAGCTCGGAGTAGAGCCACTGCTCCTCGATGTCAAGAGGAGCAGTTGAGGTGGCTCGGGCATTTGTTCTGATGCCGCCTGGACGCCTCCCTCAGGAAGGAAGGAGGCCCCGGAGAAGACCCAGGACACACTGGAGGGACTATGTCTCTAGGCTGGCCTGGGAATGCCTCACAGTCTCCCTGGAGGAGCTGGAGGAAGTGTCTGGTTTGAAGGAAGTCTGGGAGTTCCTGCTTAGACTGCTGCCCCCGCGACTCGGCCCCGGATACGTGGAAGCAAATGGATGGATGGAAGTTAGAACCATTCAAATTAGTTGAATGCAATTTTTTATTTTTTTTTATAAACCAATAATAATCATTTTTCACTAAATCGCTGACTTGATCTTGTGATAAACCACTGTATTTCCAGTGATGGCAACTTATGTATACTGACATGATTTGTAAAACAGAGCTATCAAGCGGTTTCCTGTTTATCGGTGCACGAGACTCACATCGAGATCAAAAATATAATTTTATTTCCAGTGAATAACACTGAACATGCATTTTATAAAGAGACATTACAACACAGAGTAGAGGCACAGAGAGAGAGAAAAAAATCCTGTAATGCTGATGATAAACAGGAAGAAGGAAGGAAGGAAGAAGTACTCTAGCTTTATCTCTAAAGGTCCTTTATTAACCAAAATGTATTCTCATGAGTGTGACCTCCTCAAAAATATACCCGGGGTTGTGTTTTGTTTCATTCACACATATTTGAGTCTGTCTATATCTCCAAAGCTCAAAAGGCTTTGTTCCACCCTCTGATGTCATGAAGCAGTAGTTTTCAAGTGAACAGCTCCATTTACCTTTAGTTCAGTAGAGATGGGAAATTCCAGAGCTGAAATCATCCAAATGTCCTGCTGAAGGGGTATCGAGTTTAAAAACACAGTGGAGACTTCCTATATTAACAGATAACATCGTAAAGTGGAATAGTGTTTTCTGTTTGAGAGAAGAACACAGCCTAAATCTGCAGGTTTTGTGTGAATGAAACAAAACACAAGTCCAGGTTTTTAATGAGGAAACAGCATTTTAGCAGAGATTTTAAAATGGCCCAATATGAGCTGTTTAAGTTTATCCACGTTTCACAGCACCACAAACTTGGTATTACTACGATCATGCAAACAGTGTTGGGAAGTAAGAGTAACAGAGTAAACTGTATTCAGTTACAGTTACTGTTTCAGTGAGTGGTAATTAACGGATTACATGTTGGTATTTTACTGTTTTCACACTTTGGGCTATATCCCCCTTTTTTTTTTTCAGTAATTTCACTCTTTGACGGATACTACTAAACCAGGTCTAAACTAGATGTAAACTAGATCTAAACCAGGTCTGCAGGTCTAAAACCAGGTTTAAAACCAGGTCTAAAACCAGGTCTAAAACAGGTCTAAAACCAGGACTAAAACCAGGTCTAAAACCAGATCTAAACCAGGACTAAACCAAGTCTTAACTAGATCTAAACTAGATTTAAACCAGGTCTAAAACCAGGCCTAAAACAGGACTAAAACCAGGTCTAAAACAGGTCTAAAACCAGGTCTAAAACAGGACTAAAACCAGGTCTAAAACCAGGTCTAAACCAGGACTAAACCAGGACAAAAACCAGGTCTAATACCAGATCTAAACCAGGTCTAAAACCAGGTCTAAACCAGGACTAAACCAGCACTAAAACCAGGTCCATACTAGATCTAATCCAGTTCTACAGGTCTAAAACCAGGTCTAAAATCAGGTCTAAACCAGGACTAAAACCAGGTCTTAAACCAGGTCTAAAACTAGGACTAAACCAGGATTTAACAGGATTTAACAGGACTAAATCATGCTGCGTGGACGTGTCTCCTCTTCTTCTATCAATAATATTTTTAATTTGGTTCAGTAAAGTCTGGGCTTTTTATTTTCTTTTACCAAACAAAACATCTTATGTTACAATATCCTCGTCTTTGCTTCTTTACAGCAAATCAAGTAATCCAAAGTATTCAGATTACGTTTCTCACTTTAAGTAATTTAATGGATTCCATTACAAACTACATTTTGGGGTATGTAATCTGTAATCTGTAGGGGAATACATTTTAAAAGTCACCTTCCCAACACTGCACACAGATTTGTTGTGCTGAGTCAGATCGCGCTTTTTCAAAAGTGCATAGTTTTTACTGCGAAAATCACAATCAGCACAAGGGTAAATGTGCGAAGAATGAACCCAAGATGCAGTTTTTCTTTCCACAGACTGTTTTTATAAGGATAATACTAGCTTTAGTCCATTATCGCTCTCACGCTCCATATAAGGACCAAACAGTGCTGGCGGCTCCTGGTTTAGCATTATCTCATTTCCCTGAGATTAGGTCACAGCTCTTTTGGACTCTGTGACTGCACTTGTGTTCCTCACACAGCCAAATCTAACCTCACACTTCACTTCAGCCAAACTAGAGTCACGTTAAAGGAGCTGTACCTGATTTTTGCAGTCTTAAAAACATGAAAAACAAAACGAGTTCATTTT